GGCACCGTCAGGACTGGCGAGCAATTGGCGCACATCCTCAACGTTGCCATCTAGGCTGTTCATGTCGTTAGGGACGATGTGCGTCGAACTCAGTACGGACGCCTGGTTATCTGCAAAAGCAGAAGCGAAGCGCGCCACCAGTGCAGAAGCACACTCACTGTTTGAAACTAGGGGCTGTCCGTCCCAGCCCTCCATCATAGGCACAGCACCTGTAAGATTTAGGCGTCGCTTTACGTATGTAAAGATACCCTTGGGAGTTGCTTTTACTGCTGCTGCAAGCTGCTCTTCGAAGTTTTTGAGTTTGCTCCATTTCGCGCTGTTGCTGGCATTCCGTTGCCTCTTTTACGTCTCGTAATTTTAGAGAGTCAAATTGAACGAATTTACAACCTAGACAGCGTCGCCGTCGACCCATTTTCCTAGACTCCGGAAGACCCGCAAAGTATACAGTGGACGTTATCGGCGTCTAAGGAGCGATCTCATAGTGTTGTACCAGATCCTGAGAAACCCCAAACACCCATACCATTCCCTTCTAATACTTAGTCAAAACACCCCGCTAAGAGGTCACCAGTTTAAGTTAGTCACGCAGTACAGCCGCCTGGAATGTCGGCGAAACTATTTCTCCCTTCGAGTGGCACAGTCTTGGAACGCCCTCCCAGAACATGTAATTAATGCACCCACCCTATCCCTTTTCAAAAAAAGCCTTGACGATACTCTGTCACATTTACACTACGTGATATAGCCCATGACCACCAGATGCTTGCACTAATGTACAACAGACAGTGGATAGTGTCATAATCTTACTCGAGAATGAGTCACTCCAAACCCCTTGCATGAAATTTGTTAAACACTATTACTATAGAAACTGGATTTCTGTATCCTGTCGACCAAAGATAGTTGCACACGAGTAAGCGTTGTCCTTGCTATCTTGTTTACGTTTTTCTCACATATTATTTGATCAATAACCACTCCCCTTTTTGCTTTGTGTGCGTACATTCTCTTTTCAAACCCCTTATACGACAGTGCAGTCAAGTCTGTAATCGCCCAAACTGACGACTCCGTTATCCATTGATCTATTTTTTTCGTCACGCTAAACACCCTACGGGACATGTCAAGCATCTGCTTTTTACCCGTTATAAATCATTGTTTGGCTTGACTGGTTCAGCTTTCCGATATTTAAGGGGCACAAATCGAGCGCACAATGATTTTACTTACTCTTTAGGATAGATTAACAGGCTTCAACTGACGAATCCTGCGGTAGCGACCTATCCATCAAGCTCCAGTGTGGCCACTGAAGTCCGCCTTCCAGTAGTTAAAGGCTGGCTCCAGCGGAGGAGTAAACGGCACGCGCAGTTCTAAGCTCGCCATGACCATTGAGTGGTCACTAGCTGCCGGGGGCTCTAAAATCTGAACTTCCCGCCCAGGTTGATCGCAGCTGATCAGCAACAGGTCCAGACACAATGGTCGAGCGCGCGATAATGCGCGTCAGCTGGTTGATGTGCTATGTGGCCCCAGTTTCAAACGTCATCTCCGCTTGTGCTAAATTGTACAGTCAAGTGGTAAAATAATTGACTGACCGGTCACGGTCTTCTGTAACTTGACTCCAGGTTGGTACAGGTGTGCTGCTTACCATTTAGACCTAAGAAGTGCCAATGTCAGGTACACACTAGTAAGCAAAAGCATATCAGTAACATCAAGCTGAACTTAGCCAAACACACTGCAGCTGATTCCCTGAAACATAATCGTTCTGGAAATATCGGAAAGGTGATAAAAATGTCTCCTCAGTGTAGCGCGCCTAGCATTGCTGGGAAAACGGGTTAATCTTACGACACAGAACCGATCTGATTGGTTGATATTGATTGTACAATTCAAGGGCCGTTCTTACTCGACTGTTGGCTGCTGAACACGCTCTCAAGCTGAGACACGACGTGGACACAAATGTAACCATTTCTAGGAAATCAGCTGAATATCGCTTTAGTAAGTCAATAGATTGTTCTCGGACCATATTATATTATTGTTGGTAAGTAATGAATAGGAGAGAACAGAGAAGATTCAGAAGGGCTACCAAGAACACATAGATTACGATCGTCTGTGCCATGTAATTGTCGCGCGCTTGGCGGTCATTAAGCTGCTACCCGAAACTTTGCCTACTCCATCGGCTAATTGGAGAAGTCGAGTTTATGAACACCCAACCAGAGCGGCCCTGAGTGACGTTGGGTGACCCTACGAACTTGACTGTGTAGATAGAGTGGACATAATGTTTATGAACGGATCCTGCTGCAGTTTGCTAAGTAAGTTTATGCGTATTTCGGAATCCTCGAGCGCGTGGAAATCACAAACGACATTGCGGGTTCAAATTGATTGTCGGCCATTACTTTCACCATGAAACGCCCGCAACGACGGTCGAGAGTACTCGCGAAAGTTCCAAAATCGTCTAACGCACACTTAACGAGTTCGTGTAGCAGTAGAAAGTATGTTCACCAATAATATCATTTAACAAATGTACAAGTTGATCAATAGTAAAAAATCTGGGGTACTTTGCAAAAACTAGTCGTTCTCCTTGATTTACAGCTATATCTAAAACAGTTTACACTGCCATCCAAGGTCAGCATCGACAATTTTTGACCGGAAAAAGTCGTTGTCTATTCTGAAACAACATTAGTAGTTGGAGTCGGTATCCGGGTCATACTGAAACTTGTAAATGCTGTTAGCGGCTGAATTCACAAATGACCGCTGCTTTTCAGTGGTTGATTTTCCTTTTACCGTCAGACGTTGGAAGATGTATTTAAGTACCCATATCTGGCTTACTTCAAATTGTTTCCGTTGATGTGGAAGTACTGCGACTAGCTTCTCCGATGAAAATGGAATTTTCGGGCTATCAATGTGTTGTTGGGATTTGGGCGCAGTTTTACATGCATTTCAGTGCAGGCACATTTCAGTCGGACAGGTTCCCAAACGTCCGAAAAAGCACCAGACGGCCGTTTTAGCCTTTGCGCTCTCGTCAGGGGTGTGCGTTCTTCGGACCCCTGACACTTTCGGCCCCATAACTTTCGAATGAGAGCAGGTTGTGACACTAAGCCAAGGGTGACATCGGCGGAACTGCTTGACTGACAGTTGACAAGAATATAGCGCGGCTCATCCTCCACCGTTATTTTAGTTGCGAACTGTGCAGAGGACAGTGGTTGGCCGCAGATTTACAAGTTGCAGCATAGCGACTATGTGTGACACCGTACTTAGAAGCAGTACGGAAGAATGTTTGATTGCTCATGGGCAATGTGATTAGAGTGTAATTACAAAGGTAATTAATCGCAGTCATCTCTCACTTAGGCAGGCTGTTACAGGTCTTGAAAAGCAACAGTCGATCATTTCAAGCTACCGGGTCTCGCCATTGTTGCTTTTTTATTGGACCTCTGCCAGATTCTGACTTGTCAACCACTGTCTGCGCAGTTCGTAACTTGGATAACAGTGAAGGATAAGCTGCGCTGCAGTTCTGCCGAAGTCACTCAAGGGTTAGTGGGGAAAGCTGCTGTCATCCAGAAGTTATGGAGTCGGAAACCTGTAGGAGTCCGATGTACATGCATCAGTGGCGAGGCCGAGAATGTCGGAATGGCAGTCTGATGCTTTTCCGGACGTTTGGGAACTTGCCTGACTGATAGGTGACTGCGATGAACTGTATCTAATATGTTTGGGTTCTCCAAACAAAATTTCTCCGTCGCCAAGTCCTTATGGTCACCAAAGTCGCTCAGGGCCACTCTGGTTGCGTGCTCTTGAACGCGAGCTCTCCAACTGACCGATGAAGTAGGCAGCGTTTCGGGTACTAGTTTAATGGCTGCCAATCGCACGACAAGTACATGGCACACACCACCGTATTTTATGTGTTCATGGTTACGTGCTTGAATGTTCTATATTCTCTTCTATTCAATCTTTACAAACAATAATATAACATTGTCCGATAACTATCCATCGAGCGACCAATGCGCTATTCAACAGATTTTCTGGAAATGATTGTATTTTGGTCCATTTAGAGTCCACTGATCCATTCCTTACAATGTACTTCTCCTAACAACCCCTGCCTACCTTGTCTGTTCGACCGAATACGGCTTCCTTTGTTTGTTTGGATTTAATATACATGTGTGAATATCTGTAGCTAATTGCTTACTAACACATATAATGCTTGTTTCAGTAAGCAGTGCAACTCCAGTGATGCGGGTGGTCGATTGTGCTTTCGAATAAACGTAGACGGCGACGATCACCAGTAAGTTGGTTTATCCCTTCGTACACCTTCAGACACCGTGCATATTGCCGACATAACTCTGTTTCCACCGAAATAGCTGAAGACAGATGTCCCATGCATCATCCATTTGATGTCGTTTATCAGAAGTATTATAATGACAGTCAGGGCTTGTCTAAGGTAGCATAGTTACGACTAGCCAGTAACTATATGATTGCCTCTAAGGTTAGAGATATCCAAGAACCAAATCAGTCCATGCTAAGAACATTTTACTAGTATCTGTAACAGTGAAGTTACGAGCATCAAGTTTTTTGCCTTTGCAGTTGGTGCGAAAGTGTACACGCATGTGCCAGATTAAGACATCAAACATAGATGCGTACAACCAGTATAGCAATGTGGCGCATTGCGTACAATTTGCAGACGGAATTTTCTGTGTTAAATAATGTCTCTCACATTTTGAGCAAAACCATCTACAAAATGACCTTCTTTGACATTTCCATGTCGTAGTATATTTTAAAAGACAAAACGGAAGGCTTTGTTTCGGAAACGCGATAAATGAACCACCGCCGTTGGAAACGAGCCATTCGCATTGTGTTTTCGCTACAGAGCTGGCAAAGAACTGATGGTATTGGACAACTCATAGGTCTCTGTCATGCAAGTCACAAGAGCTACCACAAACAGTGCGGTTACTCCGACGGGCAACAGTTTCGAATTAGATGACGAATGAAACTGTCGCGTTCCCAACCGCTTTTGCAAGTGCCGAAAGAAGACAGACGCATGAAAGTTGCTTATCAACTCTGAAATCAGTTGAAATAAGGTACAATCCATTGGATGTTGTACAAAAGTGGTTCATGCAATGCGAATTATGCACCATAAATTCGCTCGAAACTAATGTATGACGTTTATTCGCATTGGAAAACTGCTGCTGTTTGACCGGGTAAATTCAATTCGGTGAGCCCATCAGTCACCGCGATGCAATGCCTGTTCGTATACCGCCTTGATGTGCCGCATTTCGATGGACTTTTCCGTAACACACAAGCGACGCCCTACTGGCCAAATTCAGACTTCGCATCGTACCTTCCAGGTTGGACCTTTCAGAGTTGATCGTGACGATAAGCAGGCATTTTGCGTCCCCAGTGAGGGAGGGTTTAAGTAAATGGGTCAACTTGGAATCACGAAAGGGAACATGTACTTGCTTGTGGCTTGATTCGGAGACAGATAATGCTTCGAACACTCTTGCCAAAGTTATAAGTGACCGACCTAGATGCCTGTGGATGATAAGGGGAATGGAGTGTGGCTAAACGGTTCACAATGTGGTTACAGTACGTCAGTAACTCAAAAATCCCTGGTGTCGTTCCAATAGCACAAACTTTAAATTATATTAGAAAAAGTTGAATTACAAGACTCACTTGGCCTCTAGTATGTCGGCGTTATCTCCACCTGTTTTCACACTGCGGTTACTTCGTTGGACTGACTTCGTATCTGAAATGGTAGAATCTAACTCGCTTCTCGATTTTAGCTTCATCGCTGATCTCCCCACTCCATTCGGCTGATTCATGTTTTCGGCATTAAAGTCCCTCTGTTTTGATCCCCATATATCGAAACCTGCTAAGTCACCAAGAATGCACAAGCTATGCGTGACAAGTGGAATGTTTCCTTCTCTGATTTCTTCCACCGAATGCTGCTTTGCATGATCTCGTGAAGAAACGATGGGTACGTTTTCCTGTTTAATTGGCAAAGTCGGAGATAAACCAACCGGCAATTGTGTTTCATGAGAAATTCCTCGTTCGCTAATATGCGCACCAAATTTAGTCAGCCGACAGACCCCACGGACGCGGAAAATCACAATAAAATGCAGATAGGTTGGTGATGTGTTCAGTAAGAGAGCAGATGCATGTCGACGTAGACGAGCCTTTCTGCGTCGTAAGAGAAGGAGTATTGATGCAACGGTCAGGGTAATGTATACACCATTCTGAGCATTAAATATTATTCTTGCCACAGTTTAGTTTTACTAAGACTTAGCGGTCTGTGTTGTACACATAGGAGTACAATCAGCGTACTACCCAAGGAGCATAAATCCAAAGCATAAACGAGAAAATGCTCTTGGATCGCAGTCTATATGACAAATGACGACGCGAAACTATCAAGCAATTCAGTGGGAAATGTGGACCAGGCAATGCGTAGCACTGCGAAGGTAAGAGGGATGTTTTCGTTCAGCTGCATCTGAGTTACGCAGTTACAAAAAAAGGAATGAAGATAATACCAGCAGGTTATAAAAAGCAAGCGTCTTGTAAACGACGGTGGTTATACTGTCATATATAAAATTAACTGGAGGTGCTGATAAAACGACGTTTGTAGTCCAGATGTTCTGACACGAAAAATACATGGGACGCGCAAAACTGATTTGTTATCTAAAGTAACATCTCCACGCGACAAGCGAAGTGATTAAGTTGTGTACTAAGAGTCATTTTTATTCCTCAATTTTTAAGTATACAAGCATCTGCCTAGTGATTGACTGCCAACTTTCAAGTGCATTGGTTAAGTAGCTAATTCAGACCAGACCCAGCTGATACCCAGGTGCGCTTACAGATTCCAACACTTAAACCTAATCATCTTGCATGTTGCCTCATACTTTTAAAATGAAAAGAGCTGTTACAGTGAAATAGCATGGAATGGTCTGTCAGTTAAATCATGAAGGCGTTAAAAGCGCACGGGAGAAGATTATCGCCATCCAAAACGTTGAACAATGTTAGAGACTGCGAGGCACAAACCTAAGGCCTGGTTGAATGAGGCTTTCTGCAGCCTAGCTTTAGTCTGTTACTTACAGATAAATTGAATTCAATAATGAACTCAGTCAGCTGATAATCAAATGTCTGGGACAGCATTTGGTTGTTTTATTTGATCGACAGTTATCGGCGTTGCGCAATCCGACCTGTCATGCATGTTAGAATGCATGACCTTACATTTACGGGTCGGTGGTTAAGAGCAATGAGCGGTACTCAGTGCCTGAGGCATAGAACTAGTGGGTAACAGATTGTTCATTTCTTAGACGTGCTGTTCTCTGAAGTTGACAATTTTGTTTTAAAATGGTTAGCTATCAGTCTAGGTAACATCATCAGAGCGTTAGTGCGTAGCGATCCGCAAGCAAGTGTGAACCGGGTAGTCAGTGTGTGCGTTTTATACGTCGTCGTCATCAGTCGTTTGGCATCTGACCTTCGAAAATGGCCTCTTCGACCCTTGCCCCGTGACCATGGCCCGTTTTGCTCCGTGGCTGAGAATGCTGCCTGGGCTGTTTGTATGGTGTCCCTTTCTGTCAAGGTTACTCCACTGCGGTGGTGATCTTTTGCTAGTAGATTTGCGAGAATACCATCCAGCTGATTAAGCTGTTATATCGAATTCTTCGTGGTGCTATGCTCCTAAGAATTCTCTAGTCTGCTTCGTATTCCCATGTGCTAAAATCTGTTTCCCAGGTCGAAATGATGACTAGCTTCATCATCGTGTATCGAAATCAATGGACAAGAGTTATGCCCTCTTGTGGACTTCATGTGCGCTGCGATTGTTGAAAGCTTTCTTTCCGTTTGTCTGATGAAGTGCTTATCACATTCGCTGTAATCCATCTAATCAAAAATGCAGCGTGTCAGCTGTATGCCGTAACGACGCTTCGCTGCCGTGCGACCACCACCAGTTGCACGCCTGCTGTGTGTACCGCGAGGACACCCACCCATACCCAGACTCGAACCTGCACCGCAAGATTACTGGACAAGCTCGTTACCTATAGGCTAGGTTTGACTGTATTGTTTGATTTTGTCCTTCGATCTTGAAAGTAACCCTCTCAGGGCAGCACTTGCTTTGTGCATTGAGATGATTTTGTGTGGCTGAAGTAACTCTGCTGCTAGTTCAGAAACGTTCTTAATGTGGGGAATCACTATTCTTTGTCTGTTCTTGAGGTTGTGGAGCCGTACTCCTCTTCCGGCTTCTAATCAGGCTTCGTGGATATCCTTTGTTTTAATACACGCGGTTAGATGGCTAATCTTCTTTCTCAATTCCAATGTGTTTGCAGTGTCTCTCCTCTTTTGAATAGAGTCTGGATACAGCACTTTCTTGGTTCCTCGGGTGTTTACTGTGCTTGCTGAATATTTAACCCATGTATGTCTTCTTGTAATATACATGAATTTAATGTGTTCCGTCGGTGTCCTTGTAAACCAAAGCATCCCGGAATAGCGATTTGCTGTCATCCATGGTTAACTTGACGTTCTTGAATGTGTTGTTAATCAAATCACATGTAATCTGTATTGAATTTCGTTTCATTATGACAAATGTATCCTCAACGTATCGGGTCCAAAGATTTTGGTTGAGCAGTGGCATGGTAACACGATCCAACTTTTGCCTTACGGCTTCGGTAAAGAACGCCGATATGGGTGACCCCTTCGGTTTTCCTTTCAGTTGTTGATATATATGTCCAACAAAGAATAAATACAGAAGAGTATAGGGGAGTTGTACGGTATAGGTAGAAATTCATCATACCTAAACTCACTCAGACGGCCATCACACGCCCAGAAAAGTATTGTACTGCCGTTCCATCTCTTCGGGAACTGTCAGCAGTGTGCATTCCACCTGATCCTTGTAGGGCTCGAACCCGCAACTCGACTGTCACTAGTCTGTGGGTAAGAAGAAATTAGTGGCCATGCATAGATCTAACGGTTCCCACACAATTTCGGTCTCTTGTTTTCTGTTATGCAGGGAATTGAACTGCTTACTGGTTGGTTCTGCGGAGCTGTACGCCACCGGGCGCGTCCTCAGGTTGCGGATCGGGAATGCCTTACTTGCGAAGGGAATTTTGAATAAGAATCGTTTGCTCTACAGACAAGATGAATAAGCAGTCACAGACAAACAGCGGTAGCGTCTCTGTGCGTGGGGGTCTCGGTTGGTCGCCTAGTTCCTTATTAAATAACATAGGAGCTCATACAGCGTTTTATCAAAGCCAATGTCAATGACCACTCATTTCTACGACCAGAAAAAGTCTTCAACAGTAGGCTGATGAACTACCTCGATGATCACCGGCTTCTGTGAAGGCGTATAAACAGCCTGGCTGTTAACGGCCTTCGTGTTCTTCTGCAACTTCGGTGATCCAGGAAATTTCTCCAGGTCTTCATGTTGCTACATCCGGGCTTCATGGGAGTCCTGAGTAGCTTGTTCATACTCGTAACTGGTGTTATAATCAATGTGGTAGCGGGCTCCCAACGGTATGGGACATAACTTAATAGCCCCGCTACGTTGCGGGTAAGGTCTTTAAGACCAAAGGCTCCGAGTGGGATCACCTAGGTAAACCCTCTTCCTCGGGATGGGAAACCGGGAAGCGCACTGCCCACGCATCACATGAATCAATGTTATTGCGACTTTCAACTAGCACTTTTTGTTCTTTGCTAATGCTACCCACGATCTAGATGCCGGCGGTCGAACACGCTATATCGCGCTCGATTGCACTACAGTTAAGTTACTCTATTCCACGTTTGTTCAACTCCCCCATCCTTGGAAATCACCCTCTGTTTCTGAGTCCACAACACCGTGCCGCTTGGGGCGACTGTTCTCGCCATACGGATCAGGAATTTAAGTCCAAGAGGGAGCCTTCAAGCAGCACTGCCAGCATTTTCTATAGATGCGTTGCCAATTAAAGCTGGCAACTTTTAACGTCCGGACGCTTGTACTGATCAGATCACAAGCAGCCTTTGCTCGTACGCTTGAGGCTATTGGCATCGGTGTCTTCTGCCTCACTGAAACTCGATCACAGGATCCAAGCACGACGCTACGGTCGGTTTTATCATCCGCGAGTTCCGCTGACATTTTTACATTGCGTTTATCTGAAGATGCCGCTGGTCTTGACGGTGTGGGAATATCGTTGAGTATCCGTGCTGAGGCCGCATCACTAGAATAGATTTCTGTTAACGGTCGATTCTGCGCGTTCCGACTTGAGACCTCAGTGCGACTTTCTAGTCACGGGACTAGCAGACGTTGCTTGTTAGTTGTAGCAGCGTACGCACCCTTAGACTGCAGCCCGGAGTCAGTTAAAGACGAGTTATACTTGCAACTACCCGAAGTTCTCCAAAGAATGCGCCGCACAGATATCATGGTGCTTGCAGGGGGCTTACACGAAATGCTCATTGGGCCTGAGGTCGAAGAGCGTGGAGTGGGTCGAATTTCAGAGGACCTAATGGGATAAGATATCGTATGCCGATTTTTTTCCTGCCGATACAATTTGTACTAACCGTGCGAAAAATATAAGTTTGTTCTGTGGTTCGTAGGTTTCCGCTAAACCATGGGAACACCAAATGGCAAGTCTTTGTGTTCGTCTTTCCTATAATCACGAATCATTTCCTCACAATTAGGACACACAATGTGAAGTGCGCATGTTTGGTTTTGGTCACCAATGGGAACTTCAAAGTACAATTTAGACACGTTACAAACGAAGTGATCTTTATCCTTTGACAAACTAGTGTATAACAACCTCAAACATGGCAAAACGCAGCAGGTTCATTTGCACATCTATGTCTACCTGAATGAGCCATGGTCATGTCTGAAAGGAAAGTGGATTGGTAGTTAATTTTCTATTTATGTAAAATAGCAAAATGAACGAAAAGTAAAGCTTGCAGGAAAAAACGGGTTGCAAATATGAAATCAACATTAGCTGTCGCTGGCTGGGTAGCATACAGAATTGCAAATAAATCTGGAGTAACTATCTCACTTCGGATCACGCGCTAGTGTGTGCCAAGATTGCGCGATGTTTCGGTGGCTCCCACCAGCGTCGCCAGAAATAGCTTGACGTAGCAAAACTTCCTGCCCCGAACGTTCGCTGCACATTTAAGGAGGCCTTGGCCTTACGGCCAAAGACGGCCTCATGCACAGACATGGAAACACACTGGACACACATCCGCGGCGCCATGTACAACTCTGCAACCCTTGTCTGTGGCTTCACCAGTTGCCTTGTCAAGCACTGGATCTCTGCACGATCCCACCAGCATCTCAAGTCCGTCGAGCAATTCCTGATAGCGTTACATACCATCCACTACACAAGACTACTAAAGCTGAGCTCAAACAGCTTCTCCGGGAAGATCGCGAGGCCTCATGGACACAGCACGTCACTGAGATGGAGCAAGCGGCCACCTCGGGGACTTTCTGTAAGCTTTTCCTCCTGGTCCGATCTACTGCCGGCAAATGGTCGACTGTAAGCGATGTTTTATGCGAAACTAAAGGCAAGCTAATCCACTGTCAAAAATGCTGACGCGATCGTTGATCTGAGCATTGTGAGCAGCAGTTTAATTGGCCAGCAACACCAATAATTTCCCATTCTGGAGCCCATAGCGCTCCCTGGTGTGTAGGCGCTTCACCACTATCCGAGACTGAGATCGTCCACTAGTTTCGTCTCTTAAAGCACTACAAAGCCCATGACGCAGATGAACTCCCACCGGCTCCTTTCAAAGATGGTGGTCCATCACTTGTTCAGGAATTACCTTATTTCCTCCAAGAGATCTGGGTCACTGGATTTATCCCATCTGATTGGAGCCTAGGAGATATTGTGCCCGTCTTCAGAAAAGGTACCCGAGCTGACTGCGACAACCAGAGACGGACTAGTCTCAGCTGTATTGTTTCCAAATTGCTCGCAGTTCTGCTTCCAAGGAGGCTCAGTCTAGTACGCGAACAGAGCATTCATGAAGAGCAAGCCGGGTCCTTCTCATGTCGGAGTTGCATTGATCTCGTCTTTACACTCTGCCAAATATTCGAGCGTCGTCACAAATTTGGTCAGCCAACGATCGTTGTTTTCTTAGACATACGAGCCGCGCTTGACTCAGTCGACAGAACTGTTCTCTGGAGTTGTCTACTGAGAAGGGGTGTCCGAGAAGTATCTCACCTTACTTCAAGCCTTTACTCACGAACCTCTAGCCGAGTGCGGATGTACGGCGCCCCCTTTTGTTTCACCAGTGGCGTGAGACAGGGTTGCCCAGCATCCCCTTCTTGTTCAATTTGATTATAGACGGAATTCTGGAGATTGCACTGGAGAATTGTGAACCCAGCGGCGTAGAGCTTCGTCCGAGGGACCGACTTCGGGTATTGGGGTATGCAGATGAGAGCGCCGTAATCCGCGCTTCCTCAGAGCACGCGCAAAATGTCGTCTGTGGGTTGGAGATGTCTGTCTCTCAGTTTGGAATGACCTATGCACCATCGAAATGCATGGTTTTCCTGCAGGACTGGCTAGACACTGCTCCTAACCTTACCCTTCTAAGTCATTCATTGGAAGTGGTAGACAAGTTCGTTTACCCCGGAAGCTGACTCACAGTTAATGGTTTAATGGATGCAGTCTCTTTGCTCGTCTCCAAGGTTCGGGTTGCTTTTGCCAATATCCGCCATCTCTAGCGTCGAGGTGATCTGAGTCTATCTCTAAAGGGCCGAGTTTACAATGTGAGCGGTCCTATGGCTGAGAGACCTGGCCTGTACGCGCAAAGGATGTTGAGAGGCTGTCTGTTTTGATCATCATTGCCTTCGGAGCATGGCTTGTGTGAGGTGGCAACATGACACAAAGGAATGAAGTTATTCGACGAGGGATTTTCAGCTCAGACAGACTTTGCTGGCAGCATAATTTCTCTGCGCAGACTTCAGTGGCTTGGGCATGTTCTTCGCGTACCTACACATCGCTTACCTCGCCGTGCTCTCTTCGCCCATGCAGAAGTCGGCTGGTAACGAAAGCAACGTAGCCAAAGTATGACTTGGGCCAGGAGCATGAAGAAGTTAACCTCAAAGTTAGCCGTTGTCGGGCGCTCTCGGCTCCCTGACTGGAGTGTGAAGGATCCGGAACACACATGGCTGAAAACACTCTTGGAAATGGTACGAAATCGTGCACCATGGCAGACTAGTTGTGACTCACTATTCCCATAAACACCATTTTTTCAATCTACATGCTTATGTTTATTGTATTTTCCCCACCTTGTGGCAGTATGCCAATTGTACACTTGGCGGTGCTGAATAAATATATATATATATATATATATATATTTATATATTTATATATATATATAACGATGTGGATCTTTTTCTTGGTTGCTGTATACACCAAGTCCTTCGGGCCTCGCTGTGTTTCTCTAGATATCTACGGGGATAACCGTTCGCGATGAGTGTTGTTGTAATAAACTCTAGTTGCTCGGCTAGACAATCAGCCGAGCAAATTCGTCTACACGACTAACCAAAGTTTTCACAAGGGTTCGCCTGTACCACACTGGTGTGAAGCTGGTGAAGTGCAGGCATTGGCCGGACCCTGTTGCTTTTCTGTAGACAGACCTCTAACTGAACCCGTCATCCCTGCGACTGATGAGGATGTCTAAGAATGGTAGACAGTTCTTCTGTTCCACTTTGCAGGTGACCCGCAAGTTTGCATGTGCACTGTTAAGTTGCTGCACGAACTGGACAATCTGCTGATCTGATGAACAAAATAACGCGTCATTTGTTCACACTCACACTTAAGTATATAGCTGCATACCGGTTACTGTTAATGGTACCGAGGAGGCAATACGAAATGCATGCATCCACCAGCTTACGTCTTATTACCGCGCTTTCAAATTTTTAGAGGGAACTAATTGCTTTAAATTTTTAGGATTTATACTTCGTACAGCTCATTCACTACTGTCATGTTAAACGTGATGATGGGTGCTTGGTTCGATGAAGACAAAAGACTGAAACACTCGATTTATCCGTTCTGTGTTCCCTAGCAGAGCAGCGTTTGTTCCCTAGCGAGTGTGCAGGCAAAGCAGTTTTCATTTAAAGAGCTTTAGATCACTGAGATTTGGGTCTCGACGCATGGTGGTAGCAATTTTAGCCACCTTGTTTCCGGAGCAACTAGAAGGCTCCAGCTTTACAAGCGGCCAGCTGAATAGCAGAACGATGGATTCGTTAAAACGTTCAAAAATGTCGTGTGAAGCCAAGGCGAGAGTTATGAGCCCCATTTGTTCAAGAAGATATGTTACCTCTGAGGCACAAAAGCTGTGGTGTTCTTCACCTATAGCTAACGGGTATAATGGTGAGGCAGATAAAGTTGGGCCAGAGAAAAAACAAAATATATTCAGACATGCCAAATTTAAATGGAAAAGAAGGATTTTCAAGCTACATCCCTCCGTTTTTCTATCGAAAGAGTTGTTCACGTGTCTTAAGTCGTTACTGCAATAGATAATTTCTCCAGCCATGTCAAGGGGACAGTTTTGGCTAGCCAACATCAGTTCCGTTTTTTGAAACATTTAAATGCTTGGTTGATCCATATTTCTCTCTTGAAATAAGGCCTCTCCTGGCTTACAAATTGCTACACTTAATTGGCATTCCATCAGGTGTACTCAGACTACTAGTCGGAAGAAGCTGATAAAGAATAATAGGAATGTCTTGAGGTATTCGGCAAAACGTACGAATTGGAAGGCAAAGGGAATAACAAACCTCTAACAGGAGTGAGTTAGGATTAAATATGTAACGCAGGCACAAACCTGATCTCCTCAATAATCTCCTGCTCTGTGTTAACTTCTACTTCTCTCGCTCCACGCAGCAGAATTTGCCTTCCGTTGTCATGCATGGTTACACGGCCTAGCTGCTCAGCGTTTGTGGGAGAGTTGGGCTCGGCTAGAAGATCGACAACCATTTCTTGGTATATCTATCCGAAGGAAAAGACTCCAGGTGAGTGAAATTCTAACTGCAAGATTTTCGAGTAATGCATAAGGAAAGGGTGACATTTATCTTAAATTAATGAGCATCTGAAGTAAAGTGTTTAGAGAAGAATGCGAGATAAGTTCACGAGGACAGAGAGCAAACTTTACGGAAATGCCACGAACGAAAAATGTTTTCGAAAAGGACTAGAATTGGCTTAAGTGACGTGTGCAAGTTTATATAAGAGAGTACAGGTAGACATTTATATGGGAAAGCAAAGCATTGTGACAAAATTGAAAACCCACCACCTGAAATAAACAGACTTAGCATGCAAGCAAACTGTGACATAAATCTTAAATTAGTCAGCACATGAAATAAGTTGTTTACAAAAGAATACGTTTACAAAAGAATACGAGGTAAGTTCACGAGGTCAAGTTTATTTTACGGAAATGCTACAAACACGAAAATGTTATCGAAATAACTACCAGTGGCTTAAGCGACGTGTGCAAGTGTATAGAAGAGAGTATAACTAGGCATTTATATGAGAAAGAAAAGCATAAGGACAAAATTGAAAACCCACCACCTGAAATAAAGAGACTTAGCATGCAGGCACGCGGTTAGTAAAAAGAATGCAGCATATCTACAGATGCTGCGCCGGTTTTGAATACTTCTCTGCAAGACCCGACCTCGCTTCTGTAGTGGTCCCGAGTGGCCTCGCTCATGGCTCACTAGACAATAGACATTACACATTAGACATTTATAGGAGAAAGAAAGGCGTTAGGACAAAATTGAAAACCCACCACCTGAAATAAAGAGACAGCATGCAAGTACGCGGTTAGTAAATCGGATGCAGCGTATCTACAAACGCTGCGCCGGTTCTGCCTATGTTCTCTGCAGAACCCGTAGTCGCTTCGGTAGTAGTCCCGAGTGGCTTTGCTCATGGCTCACTAAGCCTGCCTGACTAAGGCACTCGCGACCGCAGGTTCTACAGCACCACGCGCTTGACCTCGATGGAGTACAACCCATCAGTGCTTGCCGCATCCGCACTTGCCGCTTCTTCTCTGCATGCATGAGGGCTTTCTCCCGCACTTCAGCAACTGTCTTCGTGATTAGATCGCGCCATGCACGCCGATCAACCGCCTTCGATTCCCATGATCTGCAATCAAGGTTAGAACGTGTGAAGCTCACTTTAATCATGTCCTGGTAACGTAACTTTGGTTTCCCCACATACCGCTTCCCAATACTCAGCTGACCGTATAAGAGTTGTTTCGGTATCCGTGTCGAATCCATGCGGCTCACATGACCGAGCCATCTCAGGTGTCTCAGCAAAACTATGCGGTCCACTGCACAAATCCCACTTCGGCGCAACACTTCCGTATCTGCAACACTGGCGCCCCAGCCGATGCGCAAAATCCGTCGCAGACACTGCTGATGGAACCGCTCGAGATATCGCACATCCCGACGGTACATCGTCCACGTTTCACTGCCGTATAGAAGAACGGACAGTACCATGGATTTGTACACCATCAGCTTCGTGCCAATGGTAAACTGATGGTTGTTCCACACTCGGTACTCAAGCTTCCCGAATGCTGCTGCTGCCTTCGACACGCGATTACGCAACTCAACGTGTAGCTGCTGATCAGTCGACATCACACTCCCAAGGTAGCTGAAACGGGTGGTTTCCAATACTTCAGCACCAATGCTGATTCGCGGCAATATTGAAGATTGCACCTCCGGTGAAGGCTGAAAGAGACAGACAGTTTTGCTTGTGTTGTTGGTGAGCCCGAATTTGGCTGCTGTCGAAGCCAGAGCACTAGTCATGTGCTGCAACTCATCCGCGCTGTGTGAAAACAACGCACAGTCGTCAGCAAACAGCAACATACGGATAGTTGTCTCACAGACTAGAATTCTCGCACCGAAACGACGGATGTTCAGCAACCCACCATCAATACGGTGCTCCACACGAACACCGTAAGCACAAGCCGCATCAAAAGCACAAGATAACATTGCATGAATATATGTATTAAACAGGGCAGGAGCTAACACACAGCCTTGCTTCACACCAGAGACAACAGTAAAGTCATCCGAGGTCTCTCCACTCATCCGCACCCCCGCCCGCATACCACTGTGCAGACATTCAATTAAACTTACAAACTTACGCGGGCAACCAAACTTACCCAACATCAGCCACAATGCCTCGCGGTTGACCGTCTCAAATGCCTTGGTGAAATCAACAAAAAGCGAGTACAATGGCTGGTGTCGTTCTCTGCACTTCTCTTGCAACTGACGAGCCGCAAACACCATATCTATAGTGCTGCGACCCGAACGGAATCCACACTGCTCCTCCGCCACGTTAGGTTCCACAACCTGACTGACGAGGCGGTTGAGCAGGATTCGGGCAATCACCTTGCCCACACAACTCAGCAAGTTGATGCCACGATAATTCGTGCAACCTTGCTTGCTACCTTTGCCCTTGTACAGTGGTAGCACAAGGGAATCCTTCAGCTCAGCAAGCACCTCCTCCTCAATCCATACGCGTTGCACCAAGTGGTGCAGCGCAGTCAACAACGCGGGTCCACCGTGTTTCAATACTTCAGGCAGGATCCCGTCGGCTTCGGCACACTTGCCGTTTCGCAGCTGAGCAAGTGCTCTCTGCGTCTAATACAGTTTCAGCGTATCCGCCAGATCCGCCTTCACATCGTGCTGCTTCAGGCCATTCAATGTAGGCCAGTCGATCTCTGAACGGTTGTTCAAGAGACAGTCAAAGTGTTTTCGCCAGATCTGCATTATGTCTGCAGTCTGGGTGCAGGTAGCGCCTGAACTACCATCGATCAGCGTCCTCAGCGGCTCCAATCTCGGTCCATACACCGCCTTCAACGAGTCAAAGAATTCCTTGTGTTGACGGCGTTCGGCGTAGCATTCCATCTGCTTCGCCTTCTCCGTCCACCATGCATTTTTAATGCGACGGAGCTCTCGGGTCAGTCGCCGTCGAAGTTTGCGAAACTGACTACTCTTTCCCAAGTCACTGAGATCTGCAACATGTGCAGCAAATGCTGCATTCCTCTCACAAATCAATGCGCCGATCGTCGCATTATTCTCATCAAACAAATCAGGCCGCTTACAGTTTGCGCGCCCGATGGTCTCTTCAGCAGCAGCTGTCACCTGATCGCGAATGTGGTGCCACAGGTCGCCCACTGTGGCTATGCAATCCACAGCACACAGGCGTGCAGCCATCGCCTTCTCCAGCTCAGTACGTTTCGCCACAGTACCGAGGGAGAGAATGTTAATTTTACGCCGATTCCCGGCGGGAGTGCAATACATTGATTTACGAAAATATATGTACAGTTGGTCCGCACCAACTTGTGATCAGTGCCACACTCAACTACACGCAGTACACGTGTCATGCGCACTTCACGCATATCATGCTGACGTAGGATGACATAGTTGAGCAGGTGAGCGTGACAACCCCGTGGGTGCGTCCAAGTTGCAATAGCACTCGCACTCAGTGCAAACCGAGTGTTCGTGATCGTCAGGCCGTGAGTGGCACACAGTGAGAGCAGCCTGTCACTGTTCGCATTCGCCGAACCAATGCCATGCGCACCGATAACATCTGTCCACGCTGATGCATCACGCCCAACGCGCGCGTTGAAATCACCCAGCAGAAATAGTCAATCGCTCCTCGGCACAGACCGTATCACGGAGGATAGCTCAGTGTAGAACTGATCACGCGTGTCATCAGGATAACACATGGTCGGACCGTACGTGCTTATAAAAGTAGCAAACTTACCTCTTCCGAGTCGTAGGCGAACAGTCATCAGTCGCGCACCGATGCCCGTTGGTTCACCCACCAGCTGGCCATGGAGGCGATCGGATATTGCAAATCCGACCCCATGTTCACGTGGTGCTGAGGCGGCGTTGCCCACCCAGTAGAATGTGTAGCCAGCGCCTGTTTCATGCAACTTATCTTGCTCAGCGAGCCGAGTTTCACTGAGCGCCGAAATATCGATGTTGTAGCGCGCCAGCTCCATCGCGACCAGTGTGGTGCGTCGCTCCGAGCGCTCGCTCGAGTTCCGGTCCAGTAGTGTGCGCACGTTCCAGTACCCGATGCTGAGTGCTTTGCGGGCAGGCATACGATTGCATTGGTGGGCAATCGCACGCGAGGTGGTCGTTGTGCTTCGGAGGTTTGCTTGAGGGACTCCACCCGGAGCCTTTGGCTCAATAGACAGACCCACAAGGCAGTGGGTGATTTGGAGGTTTGCTTGAGGGACTCCACCCGGAGCCTTTGGCTCAATAGCCTGACGCACAAGGCAGTGGGGAGCAGATCCAGTTCGGGAATGTGATTGCAGAGACAGATGGGGATCTGCTTGACGGCCATCACACGCAGTCTTTGAGGTACTGGAACAATTATTATATGTTTTGCGACCGGAGTAGGATACGCACCTGCGACCACGGCCAGACGCAGGTGGGTTTTTTGACGGGTTTGCACCAATTTGACCAGGGGCTGCCTGGCTTGAGGCGGGCAGTAGCAAACCACTGAACACACGGAGGTGTCCTCCCACTGTCAGAGACAATGTATGGCACTCGTGCTCTACGCCAATGGAGCTGTGAGCTTATAACTCGTAAACCTGTTGGCTCCAATGGCTAGGTTTTACGGGAAGAGGGCTATCGACCACTTCCTAACCTCCGGAGAGGATGGACTAGAATACTGCCAGGGCGCCCAATCCTGACAGGAGAACGACTCGGGTCCTCAGCCAAAGCCTTCGATTAAATATACGCCCAAAAGGCAGCGGGTCTAGCACATGGTCAGTTAGCTGACTCATGCGGATTTGTGTCCTGGATCTTAGCAGGGAGAAGGGCGTAACCCAACTCCCACCCAGCGGTCGCCACGTGGAGGCGCCCAGGACATGAGACTATGGCGCAACAGTAGCAGTAGTGGGTAGACCATCTGTCAGGATCTAGCCACCACCAGCCTCAGCGCGCCATAGGCTCTCCCGCCTATATATATAT